TTTTCCCTTTAGTATGTTGTATGTTTGTATATTTTGGTATCTTCTAACGTATATGTATAGTAATATCAAAATAAAGTCTGTAAGAAGTTACAAATTTAGAATATTATTTTATAATATGATTTAGAAAAGTAAACAATGTCTACTAGGTAGAAATCATTTGAATCTTTAGAACTGAAGATTTCAAAAGAGAGAGACTTAAACTAGCCTTACTGAACGGGTCATCTGTAGATAGACGGCGAATGAACAAGAAAGGGCATCATGCATGTAGAGAACTTAGGAAACAAAGGCACGTATACATCCGTAGGGAGACAAGCCTGACCTGGGTGAAGAGGTCTTTGTTAAAGAGAGACAGGAAATAACACTAAATAGGTCACATTGGTCCTGATTAGCAGGACCCTGTGAAAGTTCTACTGAGAAAGAAGTTAAAAAATTGAATACAAAGCAGTTGTATCACCTAATGACCAGTGTCACATTTTATTTTGTAAATATGTGGTGGTTTCATTGCAGTATCTGTGATAATTAAGTAATTACCTTCATAGGCTGCCAGATTGTATGGAAAGGACAAACATAATTCTAAGAATAAATGGAGGGTTCAGAGGAATTAGTATGAGGCAGATTTAACAACTCTGCAATGTTAACTTTATTCACCAATGACAGATTGTGTATAGCTCTGCTAAACATGTCAGTGTGGTACCTGTGCTGGGAATTTGAAGGAATAGATAGATATGATTGCAGTATGATTTACAAGTCAGAAAAGTTACAGAAGCTCAAAAATAAACAAAAACTGAGGAATGAATTGATGCTGGTAAAAAGTGTTTGTGCATAGGTGTATGTGTTTGAAAAGTTACTCCTAGAAATTTAGACATGCTTTTCTACTGCTACTGTTTTAAACACCTATAGATTGAAAATTAGGAGACTCTTAAATAAAGCAAAGTCAAGAGATAAACATAACCTAAGAGTAAGAGAAGATATATGTATATATTTTCCAGCTTTTTAATTGAAATTTATTTACTATTTATAAAAAAAAAAACCACAGCCTCTATTTTGAAAGTAGATACTAAAATTGGATAACCATTTAGTGTTATCATCCCTTGTCTCTAAAACCATAATGTTATTTTAACAGACTCAGTACAATTTTATTTTATTTTATTTTGGTCATACTAATTCTTGCCAAGAGCATGATATCTGAAATATTTGAATATTCAAAAATCTTGTAATAATCTATAACAGTCACTGTCTAAAGGTCATAATAATGAAGAACAGTTAACTGACTGTTTCAGTTTGGTATTTTTTCTCAAATTTAGTATAGTGTGGTTATTAAATGAACACATGCCTTTTTTTCAATTGGGAAAATAGGAAGTTTTTGAAGAGTTCTAAGCAAATCTTACGTGTGCTAAGTAGGTATGCCAAGAAGTGAACATTGATAATCTTGTCAAAATATAGCTAATTTTCATGGCTGTTTTTAACCACAGCTGTAAGACTTTAGAATCACACACACACACACACACACACACACACACACCCCTCCTAAAACAGAGTTGGAATATTTAATTGTACTATAAAGTAATTATCTTATTCTGTTTACAATGCTGAGCTATATAGAAAAGACTTTATTAGTCGTCTTCTTAATGAAGTATAAGAATATATAACTATGACATTTCATTTAATGTTTGTCAGTTACATTTTCTCCCTCTGTAAAATATATTGTAGTCACATAGGTGGTAACATCTGTATGGCCAAGAATTGCTTAAGAAAGGCCTGCATTTAATAAAGAAAAACCTTTCCAGTAGAATGGATTTTTTTGTAATATATTTTGCATGCAGCCCCAAAATATGTTATGGTTAATAGGGCTAAAATTTAGATATGTCTAATATAAATGAATATTTTAAAAATTATCTTTAATCATATGGGCTTCTTGTATCATCAGCATTTGATGTATAACTTTACACATATTTCTATATGAGCAGATATTTTCCAGTTTGTTTACTCATGTGTGGAAACATGTATTAGTATTTATATCCCATTATAATTAGTTATAAATTATCAGGTATTTCTATCTATAAAGAAAAAGTAAGCTCAAACATCAAGGTAATAATAGAGATAATATTAATAAACAATTATACTAATAAAATGCAAATATTTTTGAAGCAACAAGGAATTCATTCTATGATAACTGCAATCTCAGAGCTTGTTCTTTCATCCCTTATTGGTGGACTAATCAACTAAAAGTTAGTTGTAGTGATATTGTTATACATTCAAGAGCCAGACATTTCCCTTCAGATATGGGTATTCTAGGGGGGCTGTATTTCAGCCCTAGAATATGGGATAGTAGGTGATAACATCAAACAGATGCTAGAAAGCATAGGATAGGTGATATCTTGTATCTCAGTCTTAGGATGCCTCTGAGTAGACTTTGAGCAGGCTCTGATAAGTTTTACAAAATTATTTAGTAAGCTTAGATGTATTGTTTATTTTACCACTTCTCTCTGTGGAAACAAGAATATTTATATAGTGAAGGGATAAGTTAAGGTTTATGTGCACAGTTTTTATAAAGCTGTTTTATTAAACTATGGAACATGGAACAATATTCTTAGATGTACTACCTTGTTTATAATACTTTAAAAGGAAAAAAAACATGTTTGAATGCAAGAATAATTAAAGTTACAGTATTGAATGATTTAGTTATTGTAATTAACCATAATTGGCATTGTATTACATTTTCTAGGCAATTAAGTTGGAGTATTCAAGGTTGGTTAAATTGGCCCAAGAAGATACTTCACCAGAAACAGATTATCGTTTACATCATGTTGTGGTCTACTTTATCCAGAACCAGGCACCAAAGAAAATCATTGAGAAAACATTGCTAGAACAATTTGGAGATAGAAATTTGAGTTTTGATGAAAGGTAATTTGAAAATGCGAAATATCTAATTCATATGCTCAAATTGTTCTTGTCTTTTGAAGCTCTCAATGCAATTTTTGAATGTTTATATAAGTACAGCACAAAATTTGACTTCACTTAATTTGAACAGTTGCTTTGTAATTCATCTACAGTTTATAATCATGATCTTTAAAAGTTTGACTGAAAATAACTCAAATTGTTTTAGTACATTTTGTGAACCAAGATACTGAGCTAAGCAATATAATGATACACAGAAGTTTATACTATAATTACTACCCTTTTGGGACTCAATATTTTAAAGACATAAAGAATTTCTCAACCTTTATACTCTAGATATTTTGGGTCAGATAAATGGCTAAATTAGTTTTGTTTTACCAAAACATAATTTTCTCTTAGAAGCCCCTATAAAACTATTTACTAATGTTAAAAATTTTAATTTAATCTAGTTAGAATGAGCATTATTGAAAGTGACAGGTCTCACTGTAATCACATTTTAATTCTGAAGTAAATGATTATCCTTTTATGGCTGTCTCAAAAATACTGAATGAAAAATATGTTTAGAATTTGAGGAGAAATAAAACTTCTAGGATTAACTCCTGTCTCAACATGTGTTGAGATTTAAGATTATTAAATTGAAACTGTATTGAAATTTAAGATTAAGTGAAATAATACAAATAAATGGTTTTGAATAATATCTGGTAAAAAGTTAGTGCTCAGTGAGTGTTGACTTACTATTTTTGAATAGAAACGTTAGCACCACTGATTTTGTTACATATAACTACAAGAGCTCAGAAATATGACTAATTATGACACTTATTATCTGGGCTGTCAATGCACTGTTTCGATAAATAATATGCTATTGAATTTGGGGGAGAGATTTATGGAATAATCACACTGACTTTTCGTTCTTTGGCAATTATTTGTCCTGGGAGCTGCAAATAGCATTTTGTTTTGATAACCTAATTTCTGTTGTGCTTGAAAGATGGAGTAAGATGTGTGTGATAACTAAGTATATTTTGTAGGGATTTTTTTAAGCTATGAT